AATAATCATGTTGTCAAATGTACTATACAGATTTTGCATTTATTCACATTATTCATTGTTAGATTTATTTTACAAAACACCATTAATTATAATATATTTCTAATTTAGTGAATGAAAGACTGTCTTCCAGAATGAAGATGCAAATATCTGTAACATATGGTTTTCGTATATTAAATGTGAGTGTCTGATTATTTTTATTATAATGCAATGTACCTAATTTATAACTTAATTTATATTTTCAGGGTTTATTAATGTTTACTCTATTATATTTATATAGAAATAAACCTGTAATAATTTTGCCAAAAGGTATACTATGGCCAATACAAAATTTATTAAGTTGGCCCTGTTATCATGAAGATTCAATCTCTTTGATCATGTGGTTAATAATTGCAAGATTAGTTGTGGCTACCTGTAAAATATAATATAATATTTTTTTGTAATACTATAGAGATTCAATTTTATAAATAGTAAAATAAAAATTTTTCAATGCATAAATTACTATTAATGCATTTTCTTTGCGTAAGCATTCATGGCAAACAATCTAGCTCTTAAGCTGTCAATATACAGTTAGGAATAACTTTAAAAATATACATATAGTTTTTACTTCTTCCTTAATATGCCACACAAACAGTTATACAATGTTTGCTACATATATTATATCTGTCAAAATATTTAAATAAATATTGTATTTTTAAATATTTTGTTAAATCAATATAATATTTATTTAAATAAGGATAACAATAAATTTTACAAAAATAATAGCAAAAAAGTGACTGTATTTCGTAAAAGCTTAAGTAAAGTACATAATATGTAATAATGAAATATATCTGTATATAACTATTAATAAGTAATTCTTTGTTTTAACAAAATTTCTTTATATATGACAATTGATACATCTATATTCCATATAATGTAGCAACGTTTTATTCATATGTAGAGTATTTGTGAAACATCTATTTTATAAAGCTTAAAAAAAGTGTTAATTTTTGTTATTATTACCATTGGTAAAGATTTATCATTTAATTCTCAATAGTTTTATGATTTTAGGTTAGCTTTTGTGTGATATCAATTTGCATTTTTCTTAATGATTTTATGACTAACACATTGCGACATATATGATACCCAAGTATTACATATATAAATTGTAGGGGAAGTTCTATAATGCAAAGACTGAATTTCTTTCTTTTTTTTTTTTCCTTTTTTTCGACTAAAAAGCTGAATCACATATCTTTTTACTTCATTATTGGACAAAGGATAAAAATGTTGTCCATAACATATTTTTAACAACAAATTGAAGAATCTCACGACATTTTGAGCACCAATAGTAAATAATAATGTTCAAATTATGAAAAAATATAGCACAAGATTGTTATGCTTAACTTTATCACATTCATATAAATATCAATTGAAAACATATTATACATGACATATGTTACAAATTTGAAAATTTTGCGATTAAAAGGACAAAATAAACTAATTTAATATTTAACTAATACACATATATTTTCAAAAATTGATATTATTAATACTTCAAGATAGAACAAATATTACATGCATTAAATTGTTGCACGTTCGATAAATAAAATTATATTACTTATTTAGAAACTGAAAATATGCAATTAATGTTTGTAACATTCTTAACAGAATAAAATATTTAAAACATATTTAATAATAGTAATAATCTTTTCATTTTAAACACATAATATGATTGCATTTAAATGCAACAATGTCATGTAGATGTTACTATCACGATTTCAAACGTAGCATAGAAATGCTTATATATGAAATACTCACATTATGTGATTGTATACAAAATATTAAACCAGTCATATTTTAAATATTATAAACTCAAATATTGTTTGGAAAAAAAGAATTTAAAAAATTTCCATTTTTCATCTTATTTATTCTTCTTTTTTTCATTAATCATCTTTATAACCATAATTGCATATTTTTTTAAGGCATATTAATTGTAAATATATTTTCGCTCTTCTAGTTTCATTACAAATATTAATCGTACAAAATTATAGTTGTGCAACTTGAAGAAAACTATATTATTGTCTGTATTATGCCATATAATCACGTTACAAAAGTTAACATTACAAAAAAAAATATTAAAATTTAAACAAGTTATATAGTAAATACTACAGAAATATTTGTTTCTATTACTAAGTATTTTAAATTAAAAAATGATATTTCTCTCCATATTTTAAAGATTAAAAAATACATTAGATTATTTATTATTATAATAATAAAGTACAAAAGAAATTAGAAGAGCGATTTTTTTAAAATTTTCATTTTGTTAGGCTATTTAAAGCAGCTCAGAATTTCATATGTGACTTTATTAATGTTTTTTTTTTATATAAATACTATTTTGTATGTTTTATGAAAGATTTAAGCGACTTGATACCAAGTTTAGAGCAATTTGTAGATTACTTATTTTTATGAATATTTCGTAATTGATTTTTTCACATACTACGTGATCATAAAATGATTGAAATATTGAAAACGGAAACTCTTTTTACAATAACTTTCGAATATGTTATACAATCACATAGCAAAAATGCATCAACAAAAAAAGTACTTTATACGAATACACGATGAAATATTTGTTATTAGATGAATTCAACTGACTTATGTTTTAGTAATATCCATTGGTGATCCGCTAGTTGCGTTTGTAGCTGTATTAGCGGCAATTGGTGGACCACTTGGACTTACAATAGTTGGTGGAATTGCAGGTTTAATAAATCTATCTGATGTGCGTCTATTGGACGATGTTATCATGTGGCCCTGCATAAATATTGTTAAATATTTATTTCAGATTAATGATTTATTTTTAAATACTATTTAATATTAATAATAAATTTAATATTAATATTACTGAATCTCTTTAAAATATAACTTACACTGGAAGGTGGCGATGAACTTGCAAATGGAATTGTAGTAGGTTGACCACAAGCATAACATCGATTTGTGTTAAATCCCTCTCTGGTTGATGAACCTATTGATTATTAATAAAAAAATAAATATATATAAATTGTACGTGAAAATATTGGATAAGCATAAATATTAGAAATATTAGATTATAAAAGTAAAAAATTCATTTTTATATAAAACAAGGGCATTATAATAATTACCTGGACTTAATGGTCTAGAGGAACTAGGTGAAGGATTGTACGGCACTGGGCTAGAAACAGTACGATTCCTTATATTTCCACCAGACATCACAATTTCATTGTAGTGCCGTTCTTCTTCCATTTCCAAACTAATAAATAAGTAAAATTTACAATCAAACACTAAAACATTTATAATATTATAATATTATATAATTTATACAATATTGTTTACCTGGATTCTGACTCTGAGAGATGTCTACATAAAGCTTCACGACGTTCTACTTCTAATTGCAATTTTCTTTGAAGTCTTAAATTTTCTTCACGAATTTGTTTTTCTTCATTTACATATCGTTGCATCTTTTCTGTATCTAATATGTATGTAGAAAAAGACAAGATTAAATAAAATTAGATAAATAATAAAAACAGAAATGTAGTATTCGTAATATTAATTCATAATATTATTACTAATTTTAAAGTTTTGTATATGATATCATCTAGTTTTGTTTCAAATACGTATATTTTCATAATCATTTTATATTATAAATTATTTTCAACTTTTATAATTTTTCTTTTTCATACTCTTTGAATTCAATTTTTTATTCATCAATTCGTAATTTCTCATGTTTTAACATTTAAAAAGTAATGAATTTTTAATTATTTATTATTATTATTTTAACATTAAAGACATTAAAAGCATTATTCTAAATATGAAATTAATAACAAAACATAAATATCAATCATTATTTTTTACTTTTTTACTTTTCTTTCCAAATATATTCTAAATTATATATCTTCTTAGTTATGTATTTTTTTTTTTTGTAATTATATTTCTAGAAATTTACTTTAAAATATATTTATTACTACAAATAAATTTAATTACATGATAAAAACTCTTACGTTCTTGTTGTGAAATGAACAATGTATGTCTAAGTCTGGCTACTTCACTTCTTAGAGTTTGAATATGTGCACTTAGACTAGTAGCAGTATCACCATTATTGATCTCTCTTGGTGAAGCAGGATCTGAGACAGGTTGATCTAATTTTATTTGTAACATTCGTTTTTCCGCCTCTAATTTATCCATTCTTTTCCATAATTTATTTACTAATGCTTCCTGTTCTTGTTCAAGTGTATTTTCCAATTCCACTTTTTCTCTACGCAACTGTTCTAGATTACTTTGTTTTGCAAGTGTTTCGGCCTCAAGTTTTTCTATCTTTCTCATTAACTTGTTCACAAGACATTCTTGCTCTTGTTCTAGAGTTTGTTCTAGCCGGCATTTTTCTTGGCGCAATTGATTCAACTTTCTGGATAAATCGTTCGTTAAACATTCCTCTTCTTGTTCGTAATGATGCGCCAATGTCTCCTTTTCTTTTTTAAGTGCTTGAATTTTTTTTAATAATGTATTACTTATAAATTCCTCTTCTTGTTCAGCTTTGGCTTGCTACAATATAAACCAAGAGAAAAAGCTAAAATGTTAATAAAGAATTTGCCTAATTAAAAATACAGAATTATCATCAAACCACTATGAAGTTCAACGATTCAATAATTCATCTTAAATCGTTACCAACAAACAATATTACTTAAATATGTAAATTAAATATTTTTGTACTAAATGAAATTCTATAAAACTGAAACTCTCGATACATTAAATATACATATTGAAAACAAACAAATTATGAGAAACTATACACGAACAAAAAGTTAGAATACAATTAGGTAAAATAAACATACAAAAAACTTTAAATCGGATATAAATACAGAAAAAAAAATAACTTTATATGAAAAACATTTCAGTACTCCGATTTAACCTAAAATTAAATATTTCGTGCATCAAAAAATAGAGTACACGTTTACTAAATACGCCTGCACTAAATAACAAACGTAATCAGCAAACAAACGAATATATACCGTTTGCTTGGTAAAAACTATAAAAGAAACTTACTATAATGACAGAAGCTTGCCGAAGACCACGATTCTCCTCCTGCAACGCTTTTACTCTCAACTTGTACGTCTCTAGCTCGACTTTAAGAACACGATTATGTTGTTGCAGCGACTCAATCCTTTTCTGAAGTTGTTCTCTAGTTACGGGGGACGGTGGCATCATTATCGGGCCTCCGTCGATCGAGCTTGAGTCGCTTTCGGATGCGCTATCACGGTCAGCCATTTTTCTCAAACAAAAATTTCCCTCAAAAACAACCTACAATTCTTTCCTTCTCATCGCACGGTCAAATAAACACGAATGATACGTCCCTTTTCGAGCGCGGGTGTCCGGTTATTTTTGTTAAAACCTCATCGTCTCGCGCGAGAAATACCGAGTAATATTGCAACGTCCTACTACGACATGTGCTTCGCCGTAAAACGAATCAGCTGTTTGATTCTCCACGAATTACTTACAAAGAAGATGTCAAATGTGTTTTCGGACAGCAGCTCCCTAGAATTCGAGGAATTTCTTTGTTACGTCACACGTACTAGTCTTTTCGAATAACGGGGAATATTAAATTGATCGATTATTGTAACTTAAAGTGATTGAACGGTGAAAAACTGTAGATTTGGAATAAATACAAATTTTGGATAGAGAGAGAGAGAGAGAGAGAGAGAGAGAGAGAGAGAGAGAGAGAG